GTAAAGTGCTTTGGGTGTTCAACAATACACAATAAAGCGCTATATAAATGCATCATTCATTCATTCATTCATGCGGCATGCATTGGAGGGCCATTATCCTCAGCACACTAACGGAGCTGGGTTTATTTTTAAACTCACTGTCACGGCGTGGCCAGGATGCCAAGGTTACCTCGGTGAGAACTGGGGGACGGATGGGGGCCGTCGGGCAGCTCGGTCACTGCTGCAGGGTGTGAGAGTACTGAAAGTAACCCTACCGCGAAGACACGCGGAGACCACAACGCTCGCACTACAACACAGCCCTTCTGTCTCAATACACATTCACTTTGGGAATTTACACATGCATTATTCAGAAATTCGCCATTCTTTTATTGTTTGACAGCTACATTACACACTACACTCTTAAAAATAAAGGTTGCAATAGGGTGTTTTCACATCGGTGCCATAGAAGAACCATTTTTGGTTTCTCAAAGAGCCTTTAAGCAAGCAGTTCATTTTCTAATAATATAAAGAACGTTTTTCTATTATAAAGAAGCTTCAGTGCAATGGAAAGCTTCCACGGACGTTAAACATATTAATACTGTCTCCTGATATACAGTTGTTATAATGCAAGCTTATGATGCCTAAAACAAGCTGGTTAGAGAGAGTTAGAGGTGTTAGAGTGTGATATGTGCACAGATGACAAATATAGAGCAACAAAGACCCTCAACAGAGCATGTGTCGATAATAAACACGCAACGGAAAGAACGCAGGTGAGTGACGCGCTGCATGTGCATATAAAAACACTGCTCTGCGCTCACCAAAAACAATCCCCCGCTGGTACACAGAGCCTGTGTGTTTGTTTGAAAAACCATGCGGCGAATCGAGAAGCGTGCTCGTTTTGGCCGGCGAAGGGCTCGCGGAGAGAATCGAAACCCTCTCCAGAGCTCATGAATATGTGGGCTGACCACAGCCATGGATCTGTGTGAGTAATGTTTTCTGAAACCAAATTACTGTAAGCTGATTCCATCTGGATAGTGTTAGAGCCGGCCGCTTTGGTTACCCGCGATAGCATCTCCTCACAGACAGCAAAAATCTGATTAACCCAACAGCACTGAAACACTTGCTCAAAGACCGCCGAGCTTTTAACTTAAGATGCACTAATGCAATTCCCACAGCTGCTTTTTTCCGAACCTAATGCGATAAAACGGAAAGAGGAAAACGGAAACGCCGGAGATACGCGCTTTATGCGCTCGATCCACCAACTCGGTAATGAAGTCAAACAATTGTTCAATTGAATTTGTCTGGCCGTGCTTATGGAGGTTTTCTGCATACGAAAGTAATCCAGCTGTCATCCCGACCGAGAGCCTGAAATGAGGCCGCAGTGAGCGAGAATACGTCTAGTCAGTCTTTGCTCCGGGTCATATTGAATATCCCAGCTGAGTAAAGAAGACGTCACAGTGACCGGCTGCATCGCCACGTTTCCGAATGCCTCGGATCTACACATGAATACTGAAGCACGCAGCATGCAGTTTACAAACAAAAGCAGCATCAATCTCAGCACACGTGCCAGTAAACATTAACCGGTGGCATTTCGACGTGAATCCAGTGCAGCAGTGCATCTGAGGACAGTGTGTGTGACTCACACTCAATTCACACACATGCAGTGTCCATCAGTAAATGAACAGCAGCCGTAATCACACACAGCCAGCCGCTGACAATACTCTTCGTGTTTGTTTTATAATGTAAAACACACATTTTATCGAATCACTTCAACAACATTTGATTAAATATTTTAGGAAATGCTTCAACTAACTAAAACTAAACAAAGTGGATTTTTTAATAAAACAAATAAACATATAGATGCACAATAAGGCCAGTCAAAAACCTAAAACAGGTTCCTCTATTACACAAAAAACACTCTATATTAATAATAACATTTAAATGCATCAGCAGACTTCATAATGAAAAAAAAGTAATGTATTATTTTCTATGCAAAGAGATTAAGATATAATTATATCACTATTACACATTTATGTATCAAAATAATTTGGTACAGTAGGTCAAATAAAAGTGTAACATGATGGTGTTTAAGTAACAAACCAGCAGTGACAGTCAAATTTATGAGACGCATATTTAATGACAGACAAATAAATAAAGAAAAAATATTTTGTATCTTTTAAACATTTTAAAAATTCTTCATAAAGCACTAAATGAAGTATTACTAAAGAAAATCTCACTGTAGTTTTACACTATTTCAGATTGTACATTTTCAATGGAGAGAGTCATTTGCACAAAACGAGTTGCTTAATAAAAATATGAATTTTAAATATAAATGAGACTAAGTAATTCTAAATAAAGGTTTTCTAATGGCAAACGCGATGTGGAAATGCATGCGTGGAGCGTCAGAGCTCTATTGAACCTTTGTAATCCGTCTTAGTGTAAAACTACAAAGCAGCTTTAAAAATGTGTGTTTAGGATGACTAAAGTGTGCAGAGTGTAATCTAGTCTAATTTACCCAAAACACACAGACAGTCATTCGACCCATTTCTTTATGTCAGAGCTGCTGGTGTGACACGTTACTGAGAGTAAATAAAAAAATCCATATCCAGAAATCCATCAATGGATCAAAACACATTGTACTTTTTATTGATAAACATTGATAATGTTTTAAATTAGAACTGTTTTAGTTACTGTTAAATACTGTTTTAAGAACAGATGACTCTTCTTGTCAATACATAATTAAAAAACCTTGTGTAGAATTACTGTACGTGACATACTGTATACACGCCCTTAATGTTTATGTTTCATAAGAAAAATGTTCAAATGCAAAATAAAGATGTGCCTTAAGATAATCAGGAGAAAAGTGTTTCATGCAGAATTATAACAAAAAAAATTTAAAAGAAAAAAAGAAAGTCAAAGCAGCTTCATTTCGGTAAAAAATAAGACTAAATTTTCTGCAAGTTGCATCTTCTTGGTCTTTATAAAGCGAGCACATTATTCCACAGCCTGGCGCGAGCTGTGATCTCAGCCGGCCCCGGGACACTTGGACCCCTTCAGCCGCTCCTCTGGGGCCACTCCACCACCCAAAAGACCTAACTCATTAATTTAATTCATTTAATAAACAAACATCTGTCCTGTGCCCTTTGTCCCACCTGAACCCTTAAGACTTGTTTGCAAACACAAACGGCTCTAGAAGAGCGTCCGACTGCTGGGACGCATGCGTCACGCAACACACTACAAGAAACAAACAACCTATTAAAGCAGAGGGAAAAAAATTGTCTCTAAACCTCACTCTGCTGACATTAGGACCATACATTTGTGTGGAAAGTAACACGGCATCCATGCAGATTAAATCGCATCTATCACAGCAGCAGAAAGTTCAGCCAGTGCAAGAAAACTGTACTATCGACCTAAACAGACATGCAAAGAAGCAGAAAAACAGACACAGACACTGAAAACAGGAAGCAATGTTAGTGCATGAAAGAGGAAGATGCACCTACTGGTTATGATAGCTGAGAGGATCAGGGATGCAAAGTTCGGAAATGTCCATCAGCCCAGGGAGGTAGAGCTCCAGCTCCTCCCATTTGGCTCTGCAGCGCGCACCCTCTCAAATACTCCCACAGACATCGCACACACAAGCAGCCAGCCTTCACAACAGACTGAAGCAAATATATATGAAACCACACAGACTTAACACAACTTACTTGTCCTATCTGAGGAGGAATCCTTTTATTATCGTATATTATTATTTTTTGTTTTGTTTATTTTACACTTACGAACAGGATTATTTGCAATGACCATTTGAAAAATCTGTTGTCATCTACCTATTGTGTTAACTGTAAAATGTTATTCAAAAGCATGTTTTTTTCTAAAAAGGGGGGGGGATTAACATAAAAAAAATGTTTAATAAACTAGTGCTCATCTACTTATTGTGTTAAATGCAAAATGATATTCAAAAGCATGTATATATATATGTGTATATAAATAAAATAATTTTCAGAAGTCCACTTTTATGAAATCTGTAAAAATGATACAAAACATAAGTGGCAATGTTGTAACATTATCAAAGTTATATTTTATATTTGTTTTATTATTTTGTAAGTTTAAAAATTGTTTTTAATAAAAATAAAAATATATGAGCATTGGTTAAAAATGTTTTTCTGTAATGTCATGAAACATTAAACACAGGAGAGACGCATTTGACAAATCTGACAATCACACTGACGATCCATTCGAATTTTGTGTATGAAATTCTACTTCGTTAAATCATTCGAACATTTGAGAGCAAGTGCTGGACTGTTTCAAGTCGTGAGTCAAAGACTGGACACCGAGAAGCAGAAAATCGCTGTCTGTCTTTGGGGCGCAAAGCTTTATAATCACCAGAGTCTCGGTGTTGCTCAAGCCTTGAAGAATTCAGAGAATGCAGATATAGCGTTTCACAGTCGCTCACGCTCCTCTGCTACTGTATCGCAGTTTATAAGCAGAGAATCAGAAGAGAGCCATAGCGAAAGCACACGCATGACAAGTGGCCAGTTTGAACAGCTGCCTGAGTGTCACAAATCCACAAAACACACACGGCTGAGCATGCTGGGTAACAGATATGCATTGCAAAAACAAAAATAATTCTGATGTTAAGCTGATTTGTGTATTTTTATTGGTCGACATATGCCTTTGATCCCACATGACTCCTGAACCCCGCCCTGCTCTATTCAGCGGCTCACGTTTCCATAATCAATACTAAAACATCACACGAGCCCTATTGATTATCACAGGACTCACTGCAAGCCTCAAAACTCAAACCCAATGCATTCAGTGAGAAACCAGAGTCTGAAAGCTCATGTATGAAAGGACAGACAAAATTAGTGTAAATCAAATGCATATGTCGTCCCTGAATACTGTTAGAAACGAGAAATAACCTCTGTGTTCCTTGAAGCTGTAATAAATATTCTAATTTCTTTGACAGCAGTTCAATATATGGATGCCTGTAAATGTGCACATGCAGTTCACATAACAAGCCAATAACAAAATACAAAGCTCTGACATGAGCATAAAATGTTTTAACTTTAAGCTTTTTCAACTATATCATCATCATCATCATCGTCGTCATCAGCGTGTGGCTGATACAGAGTCGATGATTGATGTCTCTGGGGTTCAGGGACATACAGTAATTTAATTGAAACACATGGAATTAAAGGTCATTCATCCACGAACCTAACCCATATGATTTGCGTACAATCCCTTTGGAATGCTTATTAAGGTCTGGTCTTATGTTACACAGGATTTGATATCAAACGCTGATATTGTGCTTGTGTTAAATGATGAGATATCTCTAGATTTCATTTAGCCACACACACACATCATGTCCACTTGATAATGCACAAATTAATTTAAATCAAATTCTATTACAGAAAAATAAAAAATAAAAAATCAGTCCAAGTAAGCTACTTGATATTTAGAGCTGAAATAAGTTGTTCAGTGTATTTTCAGTTTGGTCTATTTATTATAAATGACTTTATGTACAAGCAAGTATTTTAGTTATAGTTTAGTTACTGTTCTCATTCTCATTTTGAACTCAGTTTGTCATATTAAATTCATCACAATAAAATCAGTAAATGCAGTAAAGCGCATCATGTGTGTGTATTGTGTTTCAGGGAGTGAATAGTCCCTATTATATATGAAGTGCTCAGCAAAAAAGCCAAGCTGTTTTATTGATCATAGTGTTTGTATCACTGTTAACTACTATTTATTCGTAACAGATTTTTCTCTCAAATATTTTTGAACTTGTCTGATTGCACACGTTTATCCAGTTATCTAGATTTCTATTGGTTATATATATATATAGAGAGAGAGAGAGAGAGAGAGAGAGAGAGAGAGAAGAAAACTTAATTTTTAGAATTACATTTTATTGTATGTATAAATAATTTTCCAAATGTTCCCAAATGGAGATATATCTCACGTCTAAGGACAATTTTGACCCTGAACTTACAGCTAAATCGCATGCACAAAAATTACTAAAGAAAAAGAGACAAAAACTACTAACTTAAAGAAAAAGAGACTGTAAATGTGCTGATCTGAGATCTGTGTGATTTTAGTTTGAGTGAGACTCGGTGTGTGTGATTCGCTCAGTTTTGTTATAAACATATTTAAATAAATGAAGTGATTAAGCCAAAGCTAATCGATAAAGCTTTGAGTAAACAGATCAGTGAGTAAAACACAGCGGTGTGTGAAAGTTCCCACCACTCCAGAGGCTTCAAGCGGCGCAATAATTCACTGACAGCAAGAGAACGAAGACAGAAAAGATGTTTCAGGATGTAATGCTCCAGAAAAGAGAGGGAGAGCGGAGATATCGAGTGTACCTGCAGGCACAGACACAAGGAGCTCCTCAGGTGCGTCTCCATCTCCGACTGCACGCGTTTAACGCGTTTAGCGCTGCTGGATGCGCATTTGTATGAGCTCCTCCTCCGCTGCTAAACCAGGTCTGCTGTCGTCCCTGTTTGCCAAATGTAAACAATTTCGAATAAATATATACAGATATGTTATACCTCTGTAAAACCTGTGCTTAGCCTGGTCTTAAAAGCTAGTCATGTTTTTTCCTTTTTCTTCAAGACTGGTTATTAGTTATTTAAGTCAGTTACATAAAAAGGTAGAATTGAATTTGACAAAGACTTGGCTAACTCTATGTTGGTTAAACTAGTTCTTAAGACACAGTCCTAACAAAATGGCAATGGACAGACCGGCTTACGAGACACACACACTTACAATGATCATAATATATCTAGCAAACAAAGAATGTTCCTCTAACATTACTTAAACCTTAAAAGTCATGTACATTTTTCAAAAAGCATAGGTTTCACTTTATTTTGATGGTCCATTTAACACAGTAACGTTGCACCTACATGTCTACTAACTCTCATTAGAGTATTAGTAGAGTATTAGTAGACTGGTAGGGTACCAGGGTTAGAATAAGTTGACATGTACTTGCAAAGTTACTTATAGTCAGTAGAATGTCTGTTGGGAGACCATGCCAATAAAGAGTTAGCGGATATTAAGCAAACAGTCTACTAATACTCTGATGAGAGTTAGTACACGTGTAGGTGCAACATATTGTCAACAGAATGTTCAAAAGGGACCATCAAAATAAAGTGTTACCGAAGCATATACTAATTTCAATTACTTAACCATTTAAAAAAATTCCTTGGCATTGCGAAGGTTTCTTTTGCCTGGTTTCTGTTTCCTATTATCTATAATCCTGACCAGAGGCCACTGAAAGGCTATAAACAAGAACATTTGGACTAGAGCACTAGTTAGTTGTGTTGGCCGGGTGGATTTCACTGATGAATAAATCAGAAGAACAACATGAGCGTCTGGACTGAGCTGAGATCACACCGGTGTCTGCAATAATCACTGGCTTAAACGTCATGACTAGTAGTTTTAAAGGCCTAAAAATGCCTGTTTTGACCATCATATAGTTTAAATTAACATTCAGGTGATTTTGCAGCTACTGTACAAAAATGCTAAAGTTGTTGTTAGAGATTTTTCTTGTTTTTTATTCATATATAGATAAAAAGACAGGCATGCAAGCATGAGCATGAGCTTCAGTGATAAGGGAGAAATAGGACTTTCATAAATCCTGTATTAAACATTCAAGCCTATCATTGGGACGTCCCAAAGAAAGATATCTGATTCAGAGTACTGTGAATGAGCCTGATTCCACTAGACTCCACTAGAGGGAGTGCTGTTTCACCACAACTTAAACACCAATAAACAACCACTAATCACTGAAACCAAGACAATCACTTCATCAAATGTATTTCTTATAGCCTTACATCTAATTTCAAAGATATTCTGATAGCAGTTTATGTATATAAAAGCAAAATATATTAGCATTCTGTCAGCAAATGTCAAATTTGAACTGATTTTAGTTTTTTTTTGCAAGGACTGAATGAAAGTAGGGACTAGAGACCATACGTTATGAGTATAATATTGTTTGCTAAAGCAAGCGTCACTATTACTATTGCTCTTGCTTATTATGCATTTGACCTGTAACTCGTCATGCAGCGTTTGTGCTCCAGATATTAATGATTCCTCAAAACTTATGGCTGGTTGACTTTTGGAAAGCAATTGGACATACAATAAAATGGACACAAAGATTTACACTGAGAAGGGGCTACATGTGTATTTTGGGATTGTTTGGCTCAGGTGCAGTAAGTAACACCCTAGCAACCACCAAGAACACCCTAGCAACACCTTAGCAAATACTTTGCATAAAAGTGTCTGCTAAACTAATAAATGTAACAAGTAAATGTAACTTGCAACAATGCACACTGAAAAGATTTGGTGAAGGATTTCCTTTGAAACAGTTTCCACTCAGAATTTGCTAGTAAATGTAACAAATAATTACAAAGAAATGGCAAATAACACATTGAATAAATAAATAAATTAATTAATTAAAAGTAGTAACACTAAAATAGTCTAAAAAAAAATAATTTTTGCACAGGCAAACACCACTTAAACAAAAATCAAGCTGACTTTTATATGTACACTGTAAAACA